ATTTTTCGAAACCCGCATTCTCCTCATAGCTGCCGAGTTCATTTTTACAATATTAAAATAGTGTATAAATAGGCGAAGCTTCTGGGAGTAGTCGTGGAGAGACGGAAACAATTCTGAAAGTAGCTTGGAATGATATTTTTTACCATATCATTAATAAGAAAGCACAAATCAACCAAATGTTCAGCGACCCTAGGTCTAGGCTCTATAACCTCTCGCAACTTCCTAGGAGTTAGTTTCCTACAAATTGCAAGAAAATTATTTTATCTGAAAAAATCAAAAAGGAAAGGAGTTTAATTATTTAAGCTGATAAAAAACTTAAAATAAGGCTGTAAGGGGAATCAGATATTTAAAATAATAAAATCCAAGATCTCAAAAAAGTCTGGCCTGAATTTGTGTGGAAAAAATAATAGAGAAAAAAAAGATCAGTAAGGTCAGAGTTCTACGAGCTAGTTAAGAAATCAATCATGAGGCAATAATATTGTATAGTATAACAGAGAGATTTAATATAAACTAGGACAATAATCAAAATATTCACCTTTCTGTGCCTGAGTATCGATCAACTCATTTAAAAGGAGACGCTTCACGGGTGGTGCTAGTTGGTTGACCGCCTCTGGCAGAGCGAAGGTACCCCACTCGGCTAGATGAGCACATCTGAACCCTGCTCTGCCGATTGGCCCCCGTTGGTTCTCGACACTGATACCTTCGTTAAGGAGACGGCGACGCAGTTCTCCGGCTACTAGAGGACTCGCCTGACAAGGCATCCGTTTACCTCGTCGAGTCTCCAAGGCAGCTCCGGGATCAGATCGAACCGAGACCTGAGGAAGACCCTGTTTAAGAGGCAGAGAACCCGATCCAACTGGGGTCGGTGGCTCGATGCGACTATCAGGTCTAGCAAGAGGCGCTTCTACGCCCCCTCCACCACAATTGCTACTACTACTACTTTTATCACTAAATGTCACAGCAGCAGCTCCAGTGCTGCCACCGCTAGCCCCAACATCGCTACTTGCATTAGAGGCGTGTCCAAGAGTTATAAAAATATTGACAAGATCCCCTCGGCCTGCCTTGACCGCTAGGTCAATTAAGGATAGACCGGAACGCAATACCCCTGGGTCTGTAGGACTCGATATCTCGTTGGAGCTGAGAGCTATCCCAGTGCCAGTGAATGAGCTACCGGGACATATTCGTGCACTCCCACCAGCCGCGATAGGTGCTAGCGTATCATCCAGCTGACTACAAGTAAATGTGTTGGCGATAGCAGTCTCATCGAGGGACGAACTGGGATGAGTAAGGAATTGTTTTAAATAGCGGCATTCCTGAAAGGAAAAGAAGAAAGAGAGAGAAAACCTTAAAGGCGTAGTAAATTTAAGCTAATTGGCTTTTAAGAATTTAGTTTCTTTAAAGAAAATGACAGTGCCAAGCACCTTGTATTAGCAGTCTATAAGATATAAAAAGGTTATAAAAAACAGAACGATTGAATATACTGTATTGTGTACATTCCGCAAGGTTTCTGTCGCTTTCCCCCGTCTTAAGTCGCTTAAGGGATATATGCTAACATGCAAGTCATCGGGCTCAGAACATCTGTAGTTATAAGGCCGATGTTAACCATAGAGGCAAGCCAAAGATGTGTAAGTATCAGTATTCGAAGAAAATTTTGATTATCCTAGGATAATAATCTTTTTGAATCATATATAAAAATGATGGCTTTATCATTGTTGTATAGAACACCCTTTTGGTCATATGCCTAGCTAGAAAAAGTAATGAGGGGTTAAAGAAAGTGTATGCATAAAGCATGATTGTTGAAGGTATGAAGGCCAAGAGAGTGTGGCCTTCTGTGTGGTCGCAGTCTCCTTTCGTTGTATAGAAGTAGTTTGACCTGGCTTTCGCAACTTGGTCACATTGGTAAAAAGACTTAGAGGAACGGACCTAGTTCGGAGTCCAGTGTATGCACGATCATTTCCAAAATCGGACCGTGGACGTGGTACTTTCCCAGACGTTTTGCAGGCATCGTCAGTGAGTCTCGTCATTCGTAGCACTATAGTACAGCTCGTCAAAGAGAAAAATGAAGCCCATCCTTTAATCAAACGTGTGCTAAACAGTTGTGGCACCTCCCCTTCTGTCTTGGGCTATTCACATCTCCTATGTCCTCCTATCACGCCTTCACTGTCACAATTTTTACTTGGCTTATTTTGATGTAGTGTGGTGTGCTCCTTCGAGCGACATTCATGAAAACCCTTTACACTCCACGCTGTCGTTCTCACCCCCTTCACCCTTGGGCTGGGAATGCTGACCAGAGTCGGTCATATTGTTACGTATTCCCTCACTGCGTCCTATTAGTCTCCCTCTTGCCTCGTAGAATCCATCTGCTATCGCCCTAGTACAAGTATTTCACTCAACCCCTGCCCCCCATCTGTGCTAATCGAGGCGTTATCCGCCCTCCCCTGCGTCTGAGTGACTAATTCGAGAATAAAGCCTCTGATTAAGTCTCATGGTCATGCCTTTGCTACATGGACCATGTTTCTTGTAGAACCTACTGTCAGCCAACTAGCTCCAATCACCGCCGAGTCTATCCTGTCTCTATCCCTAATACCAAGTATATGACTTGCTATGTCCTAGTCTCTTGTGTGCCAAGCCACAAATGTTGTGGTACTGCTTGCTTTGATTAGGTTCAATGATGAAACAGACTGAAGATCGGAATACTGATAAGTTTGATCATCAGAAGCTTACGACTAACGGGCAATGAGTTCTGAGACAAGAAGTTGGACACGGATTGGCCTTAGTAACGGATAACCCAGAGAATTAATAGAAAAAACGTGGATGTTATAAAGGGCCGATTTCAACTTGGATTTTATGAAAATGAGATCAGGAATCAAGATGACAGCCAAAAGTGGATTTGCCTGCCCTTATCAGAACTGAGCCAACAATTGCGACCGTTACTAAGGAAATGGAATATTAAAGTGATAACACAGAAGAAAACACTTTTCACCAGTCTGCTGACAACACGAAAAGACAAACTTGATTGCCTGGGAGTTTATCGTATCAAATGCGGCAACTGTGAGCAGAAGTATATTGGGGAAACAGGAAAAAAATCAGCCGGCGAATCAAAGATTCTGGAGGAACATGGATACGAAAGGATCAGAAATAGCGGAATACATTGCACAAACGGGAAACGAAATCGACCGAAAGGTTGGCTGCATATGGTGAAAATATGAGAAAACGTAAGATCCGAGAGGCCACTGATATACTGACTGAGAGGAATCTAATGAACAGGAGACTTGAAGAAGGCAGGATCAACGAAAACTTTGCATATTGCCTAAACAAACTCTGAGAGTACCAGAAAACAGCAAGATCAGCAAAAAGAAGACGAAAGGATCAAAGTAATATTCTTAATTTTGGGAAAAGAGATCGCAGGGTGATGAGAAAGGAACAATTAGAAGCAGAGGAGATGTCTTCAGTGAGCCTAATCAAAACAAGTAGAACCACGAAAATTGTGGGTTTGTACACAAGAGACTAGGACGTAGGAAGTGATGGACATGGTACTACATACAGAAATAGTAGGGATGCGATAGAGACTAGAGCTATTTGTCTAACAATAGACGTGTTTTATGATAAACGTGATCTTTGAATCCAGACTATTCTTAGCCAACGAGCTCTAGCTTTCACTGTTTCTATCCTCTTTCTATCTATAATATCAAGTCTATGACTACCCATGTCCTAGTCTCTTGTGTGCCAACCAACAAACTTTGTGGTTTAACATTGAAACCAATCAAAGCAAGCAGTACCACAACATTTGTGGGTTGGCACACAAGAGACTAGGGCATAGCAAGTCATATACTTGGTATTAGGGATAGAGACAGGATAGACGCGGCGGTGATTGGAGCTAGTTGGCTGACAGTAGGTTTTACAAGAGACATGGTCCATGTAGCAAAGGCATGACCATGAGGCTTTAGCCTCGAATTAGTCACCCAGACGCAGGGGAGGGCGGATGTCTCGAGTAGCACAGATGGAGGGCAGGAGTTGAGTGAAATACTTGTACTAGGGAGATAGCAGATGGATTCTACGAGGCAAGAGGGAGATTAATAGGACCCAGGGAGGGAATACGTAACAATATGACCGACTCTGGTCAGCATTCCCAGCCCAAGGGTGAAGGGGGTGAGAACGACAGCGTGGAGTGTGAAGGGTTTTCATGAATGCCGCTCGATGGAGCACACCACTACATAAAAATAAGCCAGGTAAAAATTGTGACAGTGAAGGTGTGATAGAAGGACATAGGAAATGTGAATAGCCCAGGACAGAAGGGGAGGTACCACAACTGTTTAGCACACGTTTGTTCAAAGGATAAGCTTCATTTGTCTCTTTGACTAGCTGTACTATAGTGCTACGAATGACGAGACGCACTGACGATACCTACTACGATGCCAACGAAACGTCTGGGAAAGTACCACGTCCACGGTCCGACTTTGGAAATGATCATGCATACAATGGACTCCGGACTAGGTCCGTTACTCTAAGTCTTTTTACCAATGTGACCAAGTTGCGAAAGCAAGGTCAAACAACTTCTAGTGTAACTTTGGGTTTGATGGCAGTCTTCTTAATCTTAATAGTGCAACTTTACTTTTCAAAAAGCATGTAGGAAAAGCAGTGGCCAAACAAATAATGATATACTTAATTAATAAACAAAATTAGGCCATAAGGAATAAGCAGGATTGCAGCAAGCCACCTTTCTCGTCTTCACGTTTTGGCGAATTATCATAAGACGTGGTGTCCTGCTCTGGGGATGTCCATCACATGACGGACGAAAGCTCAACAAAATTCCATCAGATCACGGGACGGTGAATCGAGACTTCGAGTGAATACAACTTTTAAATCCCTTCCATTCGCCTCTTCAAACTAAATGAAATGTATACCAAAATAAATCTATTCAGGGATCTTCTGAAACTCAACCTTCCTGCATACTAAGTTAAATAAGTTTAAGAGGCTCAATTGATCGTTTATTTAACATAAAACAAAAATGCCCATTTATACACAGGTATATTATGCTAAAAGAGGTAATAAAAAACATATTATTCATTAATAATGATAAAACTCTTGGATATGATGAAATGCAGGCTATCTAGTAGATTCTGCAGCTTCCTGTATTGGTCTTGGATTTAAGTAAGCTAATGAATTGTATGCACGCAAGTTTAATTAAATGAGCTTGATATAAGGCAAATGCTAGTCGTTTAGTTTATTAATAGGATTGTAGATGCAAAGCTGGTACGATCCAGATTTAAATGTCCTATTCAATGATAAATGACTAGGTTATTATGAAATACAAAAAATAAGCACAGAATATAGACAAATAACATTCAATTCAATTGATAATTAAATCTCGTTTGCC